TGTGGCGGTTAATAAATAAATTATTTATTTACAGATATGTGGCGAAGCAGTACAGAAAGAAAGTCAACCTTCATCAGTACGAAAATGATGTGTTGAGTCAAATGACTGCTAGACATTATGTAGCTTTGTTCAACCAAAGCCTCATCCAAGCAGCGAAAGGTAAACCGGCGTTGAATGTAAGGCCCCGTCCACACGTATCCGGAAATTTTTGTATCCGCAAATTATTTTTTTGCGGATACGAAAATGTTCGCGTCCACACGCAGCGTATTCGAATCGTTTTCACCGTTCACACGCATCCGTTTTCGAATCGATCAGGAAATTTCCGGATACGTGTGGACAGCGAAAACGATTCGAAAACGATTCGAATACGCTGCGTGTGGACGCGAACATTTTCGTATCCGCAAAAAATAATTTRCGGATACAAAAATTTCCGGATACGTGAAGACGGGGCCTTATAGTTCATGTATGGTCTGGAATGAAATTCACCACTTTCCATACATCGGTTCAYTGGTCATACACAAAGCATTCAATCGAGGCTGCAAGGTAAAAAATTGAATAATGCTTTGAAGCTACCTTCTGAGACTTGAGTGCTTTGTGTGTGGCCAGTGAACCGATGTATGGAAAGTAAGTAGTGAATATTTATTTTTGTTTTCCTGAGAGTCTTGGCAAAACTTACTATTTCCCGAGGGACCTAAGTGCTTTGTCATATAGGCAATAGCAATGGAGAAACTATGAGGAGTCCATTAAAAAAARAACTTTATTCTAGCAAGTTATGACCTTAAATGCATGAAAGGCTGCATGATAAATTTACAAATAACTGCCCATTACGGTTACATTCCGCGTCTYGTTTTTCGCTACAAAATGCAAAGAGAGTAGTAACAGCATTTTAGTAGCTTTGTTCGAATTCTTCCGCGAAACCTTTTTCAGCCAATGACAGTCTGTATTGCTTCTGTAGAAGGACAGGAAAATATCTTCTTTTTTTTTATTCTGGCTCCAATCTAACTATAATAAGAAGTCCTACTCTTCCTTCCCTGATTCATTTTCAGTTTGAAAAGCATACAAACAGGCGTTAAACAAATAAAACATATTACATCGCTGTAGTCGCATTCAGTCAGAGTCAGCTTCTTTACATTTACTGTTTGTTGGCCCAAATGCCTCGACTTGAAAAAATTGTTTAAAAGCAATGGAGTGTAACCCTTATATCTGTTGCTATTTGAACAATTTGATTTAGATGAGCAGGTACTTCAAGTGTGAATGAGAGAAGATTTMATGTGACTGTAAAAAGTCTGGTGCCGTATGTGTGATGTATGTTTTCTATAGTTCTGATTGGCTGATTTTTTTCTCGCGCAATGTGATTGGTCCAGCAGTGCCGTGACCAACCGYGTTCGCGCCGTSTTTGTGCCGTGTTTGGCATTTCATTGGATAGAGATTGCGTGCGCATCCTTCACTGCGATGTTTTCTAGGATTTTGATTGGCCGATGTTTCGTGACGACCGCGTTTGTGCCGTGAGCTTTTCACAGTTTTACGAAAATTGATCACTTTGGATTCCTTCTTCCTTTTCAAGATGCTACTGTAGGAGAGATCCAGTTCCTTCCAGTGGTTCTCCTCCAGTTGTTTGACTCATCTGGCGGTGTGACCCAAGTCTTCAATGCAGAACCCTACATGTCAGGGGAGTTTACTAAATTAACAAACAAYGTTGACTGGAAAAATGAACAAAGAAGAACAGATCTGGTTCTGGCCTACAGCCATTTTACTTACCAAGCTTCCAATGGCAAGCTGATTATTGTAGACATACAGGGATGGGCTCCACATGATGAGAAGGGCTGTACCTTTTTAACTGATCCACAAATCCATTCTACAGTTTATAAATGTTTTGGGACAGGAAACCTCGGGAAAAGGGGTTATCAAAATTTCTGGAAGATGCATTCAAAATGCAACAAAATATGTCAAATGCTTGGGCTCAATAGACCCTCTATTATGTAAGAATAATTTTAAATTATGAGAACCACTTATGAGACAGGTGTATATATCACATTTTTCTCTGCAATATATAGTATAGAGAATACACGTGTGTAAGGAGACGAGTTGCTTTCAAGTTTATTCAACAATATGCCATTGTGTACAGAGTAGTGTGTACAATATTTTAAGCATTACACATCTCACTAGATTAGAGTCTAGAAGAGGCTCTTGAAACAGTTACGACTCTTTAGTAATACGCATATTTCATGTTGTGTAGAGTGAAGGCATTTAACCCGTGAAATAAAAAATACTAGTCAACGTGTAATAATCAAATAGACACAAAAGAAAACAATAGAATTAAGGTCTACCAATGTGTATTAGTCTAATATCCATTACACGGGTTAAATGCCTTCACTCTAATGTGACTATGAAATTAAATTGGTGGAGGTGGTTGCCCAATTATTCCGAGCCAGKTCCTCAAGTTTAATTCATTCGAACTTTGGGCCCCGTACGTCCTCAAACCCTTAAT